AATTGAAGTGTTTATTTCTTACAACAAATTTCAAGGTGAAAAATTGTAGTTCATACTTTAAATGAATGAATATGTCTTATTCGTTCACATATTTGCTTACTTAAATAGAATTATACGTTAGCAAGTTTAAATTATATCATTGCAACCTAATACAAACACATATCAAATAGTTAACTATACATGTTCTTCTTGTTATAGGTTTAAATCTCCACCCCTTTAAATTATATCATTGCAACCTAATACAAACACATATCAAATAGTTAACTATACATGTTCTTCTTGTTATAGGTTTAAATCTCCACCCCTTCGTTTGTTATGCAATATTAAAAAAAATATATTATCTTAAATTTAATATGTATTTTAGAACCACATAATTTTTATTTTTTCCCCAAATATAGTTAGTGTGTTTTATATATACACATTTGAGTTTGAGGTACTTCATTTATTGGAATTATGTTAATTTTGTAAAATTTCACATTTGATACTGTATTTAAAAAATATATTTATTTTATGCTATTTATACAAATACCTATCATCTTCGAAAGATAATAATAAAAAATTTCTTATTTATTATCTTCATTCTCTCTATATTATACATACATTCATATACACACATATATACGTCAAACACACAAAAATATAGTATTTCTATATTATATACTTAATATAGATATACGAATTTATACACACGAATATACCTTAATTGGTGAAAATTTAAGGATTTAAAGTATATTTATACTATATTATATTTTTAAAATTAAGTATATTGTAAAGGAAACAACTTGTATCATATCAAACAAATTGTAACCTAGCCAGTTAGGTAGAAAAATTATTAGTGGGGCCATATTCTACCATAAAAGAGAATAATGCTTATAAATCCAAATGGGCTAGACACATACCAACATAACTTGATGAGGTTCTATATATAATCAATAAAAACCCTAGAAAAATTATTGTTTTTTTTTCTTGTGAGATGAAGAGTTTGGAAAGGAAAAAAAGAAAAAAAAATTTGGACCCATGTGGCTTCTTTAGGTCTCATAAATAATAAACAACCAAGCTATATCTAAGTTCTAGTCTCTAGTCCTTTGAATTAATTTGTGTCCTTTGATTATTAAACTATGATTAAAATAAAGTTATATAAATACCTAATTGATCATGAAGATTTAATGTATCTTCTCGTTATCTCTCAAAATTAAGTTGGGTATTATAACCACATATCCATAGATCAAATATTATTTCGTGGATTGGATTTTACTCGACTATCTACGACTTCATTGTGTATGCTCGAGGTAGAAGTTCTTATTGATATTAAGTATTTTAATTTAAGTTAAGTTTTTTTTCTTTTTAAGAGGTGAAATTGAATAACGCGGTTGAACCGTAATGATCATGATTTGTCTGTAATGTGCATTTGTATGTCCCATAATATAGGTCCTATTATTCTACCCTTTCATAGAAATCTATGACTATTCATAGCTATTACCTCGACACCAACCATAAAACGAGTATGGAAAATCATTATTTCTCATCTTAATTAACCCATTTTAATTCTCATTCCCCAGAAGATATTGAGAGAGAGATCATGTGTGTGCATTGAACAAAGGCATTATTATTTGATCTAATTTTGAAAAGAAAATAACAAAAGGCTGAAAAATCTTGATGCAAAAAGCAAAAACAAACCATGTTAATTATCAAATTGGAATCCAATAAAATAAAAAATAGTTGAGAAAAAGAAGGCAATTGGGGGGCTGATGGGAGTCAAGATTGTTATTTTTCTTTAAAAAAGAAGAAAAAAAGCACATGCAAGAATGTCCTTTTGGCAATCATGTTTATGTGTGTTTTGATCCCAAATCCAATCATACCCCATTAATTTTAACTTAATTCAAACTATTTTTGCATATATTAGGCCCCTTCTTTTTGTTAATTATAATTATGTCAAAACAAATCAATAACCACTAAACAACAACAAACCCATCACTTTTTCCACTACAAATTAATCAATTATCATAAAGTTAATTATTCATGTGGGTCTGTCTTAATTTCTAAGATATTTGTTTTCTCCTTTGAACACTTTTTTTTCCCTTTTCTAAAACCAAATAAAGATAAGATTCATGATATGGTGTAGGGTTGAAGTTAATTGGCCTTATGACATAATATTTAATTGGTCCCACAATCTTTCTTCTTCTTCTTCTTCTTCCTTTTTTATTTGGTTCCCACAGCCAACAAACCAGCATCCACCATTATTAACTTTTGAAGTTTCTTCTATGATTCTTTATTATATAAAGTTAATTACACACCTTGAGAATTATATCTTGGAGCTGTCAAGCATCATGGTACTTTCATGGAGCCCTCTCTCCTCTTG